TTGGGGGGGGGGGGCTCAGCACCCCACAGGATTTGTCCTTGCTCTAATCTGCCTGGCAACAAATGACCCGCGCGCTCCCTCTGCCGGGACGCGGGTCCAGCAGGCAGCTGCCTGCGCGGTGCCGCACGCCCCGCTCAGCTTCACCCAGCATGAAGAAACTCAGCCATCACCCCCGCCCCGTCCCATCCCGTCCCCGCTTACGGTCACTGCCGTGGACGATCTGGAAGTTCTTCACGGAGGCGTGGGTGACGCGGCCGTGGAAGTTGAGGACGTAGGACTGGGTCTCGTCGTTCCAAACCGGCGCCTTGTTGCGCAGCTCGATCACGTTGTCCATGTTTTTGTTCTGCCATCGCATCAGGAGGCCGTCGTTGTCCTGGGGAGGGTGAGAGAGGTAAGGGCAGAGTGGGGGTGACCCCCACCCCGAGATCTGCCGCCCTCCACACCTTGCCCCGGGGGATGATCTGCCTGGGAGCTGGGATCCAGCATGGATTAAAAAAAAAGCACGGACACCGCATCTCCCACCTTCCGGGGAGGTGCCTGGAATTTCAGGGACACCTGAAAGCTTTTCCATGCCCTGAAATGGGTAAAACCCAAGGTGAGCCCCAGCAAATCCAGCCCCGAAGGATATTCTCCCAGGTTGGCCCCCAGACTCACATTTCGGGGCCGGATGGGGACCCTCTCGTTGTCGGCGTTCATCCCGGGGATGATGACCGTCATCTTCCGGGGGCCTTTGAACCCCAAAACGTTGGTCTCCTGCAGGAGAAACCCCATCATCCCTAAAACCAGCGACCGCTGCGGGCTGCAGCCCCTCGCCGGCGGCTGAACGAGGGCTCTGGGTTGGATCCAGCCCACCCTGCACCTCCACATCCCCCCCGGGGCAGCGGCATGGTGAAGAGGTGCAGGTCGGGACCCCCTGCTTGAGGGGTCTCGGGGTGGGGGGTCCCCGCACCACTGCTTACGTAGACTACGGCTGAGAGCTCCTGCCGCACGTTGGACCAGTCAGCGTTGGCCCTGTCGGGGTTCGCGCCGTTGTCGAACACCGTGAACTTGGTTCCCATCAGGTTGGATCTGCGGCCAGGGATGGGAGATGGCCACGGGCAGTGCCAGAAGTTCTCTCCCCCCCGCGACAGGTCGGTGGGGTCGATGGAGATGAGGTAGTTGGAGGTTTTGCTCTTCTTACGCTTCCTCCCGGCGAGCAGGAAGACCTGGGAGGGCGACGGGACCACGGTGGGGATGGGGCATCGTCATCGCCGCTGCCATCTCCAGCTCCCCGCCATGCGGTGCCCTCTGCACAAGGCTTTGCCCGACAGGTCGCTGCTGCCGCGACCTCACCCAAGTCATGGAGCAAAGACGGCCCCCAAAATACCGGCTGAGCCATGGGTGGGAGGGTTTGACCCCAGCCAGGCATTGGCACGGCTCTCCGGCCGATGTCTGCTCATCATCCCGGGTACCACCGACACAGGGCATTTCCCAGGAGGGGAGGAGGGCAGCACCCACCACCGCGGTGGGACGCAGGCAAACATCCCCCCAAAACCCTGAGGGTGCTCCCCAGGGTGGGTGCAGACCCCCGGGGGTCTCCAAGCCCCCACCCCAGCTCACCTTCTTTTCGTTATCCAAGTGGAGGTAATAGGTGGGGTAAAGCCCCCGGTCCATCCCCTTCTTGTCCCGCGTCACCCGGCACTTGATGGTCACTCCCTGCGGCGCCGGCCGCAGCACGAACTCCTCCAGGTTGTCCACCTCGATGACGGGCGATGGGGGCCTCTCCTCCTTCAACTGCGACACAAGAGGGGACGGTGACCCCCAAACCAAACCTGCCAAAAGTTCCCCTCCCTTCCCAGCTAATCGCTGCCTGCTCCCGATCCCCCCCTGGCAGTGGCTCTGCAGCCGGTGGCTTTGGGGACAGCGCTGCAGCGGGTCTCCCCAAGGGATGCTCCAGACCCCCCAACCCACCCTGGGGGAAAGAGCTGCTGCCCCCCCAACCCGAGGGGACCCCCACGGCTCTGAGGGGGTTTTTTGTACCTTCTTTGTTTTCTTCCCTTTCCCCTTCTTGTTGGAGTTTTTCTGCGGGGTCTCTGGGGTCTCCTCCTCGCTCTCGGCTGCTTTGGGAGGAGCTGTGGGCAGGGGCACAAAGGAGTAGGGAGCCTGACTCCACCGAACCCCAAAACAGAGTTCAGCATAGACCCAGAGCAACCCCATCGATCCTAACCCCCCTCTCCACAGCCAGGCTCTCCCCCCCGAGCCCCTCCAGCACCCAGCACCCTCCATCCTATCGCCCGTGCCAGCCTCTCACCTTTCTTTTTGGTTTTCTTCTCCTTGGGGGGGTCCCCACCGGTCTGGAAGAGGGACGCTGGGTTTTTCTTCTTCTCCGACCGGATGGGTTTGGTGCTGGAGTCGGAATCGTCCTCCTCATCGCTGCCGGTGGCAGCTGGGGGGGACACAGGGGACACCGTCACACAGCACCAGGTGCCATCGGCTCAGGGTGATGCTGTGGGGCAGTGGAACTTACTGCCACCCCCCCACTCGCCCCGTACCTTTCTTCTTGCTTTTCTTCTCCTTCTTCTCCCCGTTCACCTGGAACATGGACATCGGCTCCTTCTTGGTGCTTTTGGCAGGTTTGGCTTTGCAGTCCGGGTCGCTCTTGTCTCCTGGCGGGATGGAGGAGTCGATGAGTGGCCGGACAGGGGGACCGGGATGGGCGGTGATGGGGACAGGGAGGTGGCAGGGTGGGGGCAGTGGGAAGGGTGGAGCTGGGGGGAGATTGCATGGGGAGGGGGTAATTGCTCCGCAGCCCCCCACGCCTCCCAGGACAGAGATGGGGATGGGACACGGGCAGTCCCCTCATCCCAGCAAGGGCAGATGCAAGTGGCAACGGAGCCGGGCTTGAGACACCCCTGTCCCCTGGGCACCCACCCTTTGGCTTCAGCTTCTTCTCCCGGCTCTCGCCCGAGGGGGGCTCTTTGAGCAGCTTCTTCTTGAGTTTTTTCGGAGGGTCTTTATTCTCCACCTCCTCTTCCTCCTCCGAATCCTCGTCCTCCGAATCCTCGGCCGGCTCTGCCCGGAGGTGACACCACGGCATCAGCAACACGACGGCCTCTCGCATCGGAGACCCACAGCCTCGCGGTTTGCAAGGGGGGAACCTCCCTCGGCAGCACCCATGGCCCCAAGACCAGGGTGCTGGGGCCGTGGGGGCCAGCGACGCGTTGGACAT